CTTCCGCATAAACTGGCTGCGGAGATACCGAGTCTCGCACCCGCTCCTCCGGCCTGCTGCGGCGAGTCTGAATCAAGGAGAGACAGTTGCTGCTCCAAATCTTCGTCGTGATTTTATATCAGGGAAGATTCCATTGGGCAAGTTACGGACGTATTGCTGTGTTGTCTTCTTGTTGCCATCCAACATGTCGTCAGCGTAGTGGCACCAAATTGCAGGTTTATGTTGTAGGAAGACAGTGTTTTCTAGTTCCTGTAGGACACCTTCCGCTACTAAATTGGCCAATGCTTGTCCCTAAAGACAACCTTACATATAACTTGGCAAATTCAATGTATGCAAAAACTGAAATTCCTCCATGGCAACTTCACTACTTAGTTTAGATCGGCTTTCAAGTCCTAGAAGGTTTTTGAAATCAGACGTTTAAATCTGACGAAAGCATCGTCTCTTTTGATGTTATCTCGATATTCACATCCATCCCATCAAAAGTGGTGCGTGATATTTCGCGCAAGAGGCTTGAAGAGGCATCTAAGGAAACTCAGAATCAACTAAAATTGGAAATTTTAGGAGGCTATTTAACTTTTGCCAAAAAAATTATTTTTAATTTTAGTTACGGACAGATTAGAGGAACGCCTCCACATATTGGGACATATAAATCACCTCGAATATGCTATTTCACGGTTCAACGATCCGGTTAGGGAAAAAATACTTCCCATATCCAATCTTCCATGGGGCATCCGTATTTTGAAGGGATATCCCCTGAGATTAGCTGTGGTGGGGAGTTGGAAAAAGTCATCGCACAGGAGGGCGCGGTCCAAGCCACGCACCATGCTGAAAGTTTTTATAAGCAATTTTTCCAGCCCACCAAATGATTGCACTCCCAAACTAATCAGACCTACTCAATATTTTAACAACTTACCGAAACAAATTGTTCTATTTACGGAAGTACATTGTTCTCCCATTATCCTAAAATTCTTTACAATCCTACTTTTGACAACCTCTTATTTTTCACCCCCCAAAATAGCCTAATTCTGTCATTGATGCCGCTCACTTGTGCTTTTCTACAACAATTCAGATTTATTCAATAATAACGGCTTAACAAACTGTAGAACACAGTGATTGGGCTTTCAATCTTTTGCTTCTTCCCTGTAGTTTTTTTCTTCATCACTAAACCTTCATTTCCTATAAATACTATGATCTTTCTCATTTATTCCTAAAGAACCAGACAATAGTCGTTTCGGTTAAGTGTACACGTTTCCAATCAAATTCGTTTAGCAGTCGTTTCTTTTTGGTCCAATGCCCTTTCTCTTTTCAATGCTCGAGTATCAGTATCAGTATCACAGTCTTTGTATTAGGGGTAAGTTGGCCAAAATCAGACGACCTATGGTTCGTTGTCCACAAATGGTGAAAAGGGTATAAAATGCAAATTATTGAGCGGACCGAAAAATTACTCTTCAGTATAAGAGTAAATAACATAGAGAAGATCGCGGCGTTGAAAAATGAACAGGAAGAGGAAATTTCTAAAAAAAGAGATATGTGGCCGACAGCCGACATTGCTGTCCGGCGTTTTTGTGTTGTGTGCATTTGTAGCGGTGCTGCAGCCTACCTCCTCGCCACTAGCTTATTCTCGCGGGGACAATTTTGGCCGCCCAGTCGCTCGACCCAGCGCGATGGCCGATGTCTGCATGCAAGGCGTGACATTTAGCCTCAGGCGGCTGTAGCACACGCACACACCCCAAAATGATCAGGCAAATCAGAATCCTGAAGCTGGCTCACTGAATGCTCGCTCTGGGCCCCTCTAACTATTCCCGCACCTCGGATCACGCCACTCCAGCGGAAAAAAGTGCTCTCCGTACTCAATCTTCTTCCTCCTTATTCTCTTTTCCTCTGTGTGCACAATAAACTATTCCTTCTATTCTGGCCTCCACTGACTTTTCCTCGACTAAGTCACCATGGTCTGAAGATCGCAATACATACATTGCGA